TATTTAATTTATATTTATATATACAGAGAACATAAAGATGCAAATAAATTAGTTATCAGTCTGTATTTTAAAAATTTCTTTCTAAAAACAAAATACTCCCTTCTGGTACATAAGTAGGAAAAAAAATCAACCTTCACAAGTGGTTAAAAGGAAGATGTCAGGCCATGTTTCTGAAGCAATGAACTGAATCATTCAAGGATTCTTTATCCTACTCTATGTAGTAAATCTTAATGGTGACAAGACTTAGAACTATAAGATGCAATTTTAAGGAAAAGAATGTTATAGTTGATATATAGATCATAAATAAGGAACAAATATTCCTAATTAGTACTTAAAATGTTCAACTTCTTTAATAGCAGCATAAAAATATTAAGTGGTTTAACAGCCTTGATACAATTTGTGTTTCATCTTAATAAAGAGAGCCTCCAGGCTTTTTCTAATTGGAATCCAGAAATGATTAAGTTTCTTGCTCCAAATGAATAACAATCTCCCCTGCTCTTTAAGCATCTAAAAGAGGATCATTTTAAAAGTGGTTCCAATGTAAGGTTTTTATGTGACAAAACTGAAAAAGAGTAGAAGCCGGATACCAAGTGCAGCAGAATTGTGAGAACACCATGGAAAGTAAGATGATATTATTCTACAGTGGGAACATCCATACAGTCAAGGCAGAAAGTCTCCCTGTGAAAACACCAGATTATCAGAAGCTGGAATTCTTCTATAAGAGAGTAAATTTGACTTCATTTCTGCCTATCAAATCTACAGAGCTAAAATTATGTTTTCTTTTCCTATGCAAAAAATAAAAAAGAGATATTTTTCTAACAGTAGAGATACAGAAAACAAGAAACCAAAATTTTAAAAGTGAGACCAAATGTGTTCATGCACTTATTCTCACATATTTTATTACCTTATTGAAGTAGTTTTAAATCTCGACAGATTAAAAAAACATGATAAGAGATTCTACAGTATCTTTCATAGCTTCTTATTTATAAATTAACATTGGAAAAATTGCCATAACCTGTTCAAGTCACTGGTTTATTTAATATCTTGAAACAGATGAGTAATCAAACCTGATCCCTTATTTCCACTGGAATTTTTCAGTTTTGAGGTGTTACTTTTGTGAGGTTATGCCATACAAGCAACTCTTATAGTCCCTCTATATGAGACCTCAGTGTCAAGGAACTATTTATTGTTTAGATTAGGTGTCCCCACAAAAGCTCATGCGTAAGACAATACAAGAAGGTTTAGAGGTGAAATGGGTGTTTTAGAAAAGCCTTAACCTAATCAGTGCAGTAATTCTCTCATAGGGATTAACTGAGGAGTTAACTGTGGGTTTAGGCTGTGGTTGGTATGCCTTGGGGATACATTTCTGATGAGCTGAGCTTAGTCTCTGTCTACTTTCTGGTGGCAGCTGTTTTACTCTACAGTACTTTTATCCCATGATATTCTACCTCATCTCAGACCCCAAGGAATGGAGTTGTTCATCAATGGACTGAGACCTCTAAAACTCTGAGTCCCCAAATAAATGTTTCCTCCTCTAATTGTTATTGTCACAGCTAGGAAAAGCAAACTAAAATAGTTCTGAAGAGACTGGATAACTTCTTTGCATTCATCAGCTCTCATCTTATCTTTTAAGCTCATGCTTATGGAAAAAAATAAAGAAAATAAGCAGGCATTTCCAGTTTATGCTCTATGTACCATGTGACCACATGAAAGATGCCTACTGGCTTTGTTTCAGTTTAGAAATTCCATAGGTGGGAAGTAGAAATGACTGAAGTTCTATTTATCTTACAGTTTTTTTGTTTTGTTTTGTTTTTTAAAAAACAATTCTTCTCTATTTTCTGCAACTGGAAAGTGAAATAAGGTAGTGGTATGGGTTTCATAAATATCTTGATCCCCTTTGTACTTTAAGAAAAAAAAATTAGACCACAAAATTATTCTTAAGTTTGTACATAAAACTTTCAGTGTTTATGTTTTCAATTTTTAGATAAACAGAAGGACCTATATCAAATATAAATTAATTGAAATTAGTTTATAATTGTCATAACTAGAAATATTTTAAATTTATTGATTCAGAGGAAATGGATCCCAAGAGGACTCAAACTACCCTAAGCATTTCTCACTGGGTAGACTGAGACTGCATTCTTAAAGTCCAAATTTTACCAAATAATTGAGGAAGAAAAAGGAGGGAGGGAGGTACAGATCTATAATCAGGCCTTGTGTTTAATGAAACAGTTTTGGATTTATTGTTTGCTAGCTGCTTTGCTA